CATGATTCAGTTTCCCCGTGTCTACCTGTCTGTTGGACTAAGTGCAGTCTACAAACCCCTGTTTCCTCTTCTGTCTGCTGCCTTCTTTTCAGAGCTTCACACACTGTGGCAGAATGAGGAACGGGCAGCTATTTCCTCGGGGAAACTCAATGAGATCTGGCACAGAAGACATGACTATTGGCTTCTGGCTGGGATTGTCCTGTATCCTTTGATATGCATGCAAGAAGAAGAAGGTTCTCTCAAGCTGGGAAAAAAAAAAGGATGATGATGTCACACTCAGGGACAGGGGCTGGTGCCACACTTTGGGGAGTCAGGTGGAAAGGAAGAAGTGTTCAAAGCTAAGCCCATTCCTGTTAAATTCCTTGATGGTTCCCTTTCCTTCCTTGGTAGCCATGGCTACGCACGGTGGCAGGACATCCAGAATGATGCTCAATTTGCCATTATCAATGAGCCATTTAAAACTGAAGCCAATAAGGGGAACTTTCTGGAGATGAAAAATAAGTTCTTGGCCCGGAGGTTCAAGGTGGGAATGAGGGAGGAAAGGAACGGGTTATAGAGGGGCTTGGGTCAGAAGTGAGATCAGATCTAGCTGGAACTTAGGGAAGGTTAACACCTTCAGGGCTGAGGTGATGCTTGGGGCAAGACCAAAGTGTAACTTTGTGCTTGGGAGTGTGGTCTGGGTCAGGGTTGATGCTAGGTTTTGCAGCTGGGAATGCTCTGGGCCAGCAGTGAGGGCCGGGTGGGTCTCCTGCTGTGTCCGGTCCCCCCATCCCCCACTCACCCACTACTGGCAGAGCCCTGGCGTCACCTCTCAACCCTGTGCCCTCAGCTCCTGGAGCAGGCGCTGGTGATTGAGGAGCAGCTGCGGCGGGCGGCCTACCTGAACCTGTCGCAGGAGCCGGCGCACCCCGCCATGGCCCTCCATGCCCGCTTCGCCGAGGCCGAGTGCCTGGCCGAGAGCCACCAGCACCTCTCCAAGGAGTCGCTGGCGGGGAACAAGCCGGCCAACGCCGTCCTGCACAAGGGTAAGGGCCGCGGCGGCCCCGCGCGGGGGAGGGCCCACAACGCTGCGTAAGTCTTCACCCCGCACCTCTCAAAATCTTCCCAACCCTCTGACCCCGCTACCCTCTGAACCACCCCCCTCTGACCTCTAACCCCACCCCTGCCCACCTGGCACCGCCTTGGATTTTAGCCTCTAGGACTTGTGCAAGCCAGCCCTCATCCATGCCTGATAGCATTCACATCTGTGCCCCATAGAGGGACCTGCCCCAAACTCCATGTCCCCTCCACACAATGGGGCCTCTTCATTGGCGGTGCCTGCCATACTGCTAACGTCATCCAGTTAGGGGCCTTGGCCTGTGTATGCACCATACAAATCCTTGGTTCTGATAAAACAAATCACATTCCCTCACATCTCTCTCACCCCATGTGGCAGACACTACCACCCATCTGACCCTATCCCATGAAGCTTCCCTTTGACCTTCGACCTTCGACCTTTCCTCCTACCCCCTCTTACCCTGCCAGTGATAGAGATTATGTCCCAAAGCCCTCTAACCGTCTAATCCTGAGTGATGTAGTGACTGACTCCTGGCCCCTTTGATCCCTGTTCTAATTCCTCAAATCTGTAATACTGACCTTCTAACCTCCCTCTCCCCTTACATATGAAAACCTTGATTCCTTAAAGCTTTGACACCACTCACCACCTCCCATGCCTCCTGACTATTTCCTCCCCATCATCCCCAACCCCAAACCTTGCTCTTCCAGTATGAGATGTTCTGACAACTCCCCGCCCCCATGTTTTCCAATGTCCCCCCCCATCCTCCTTTTCTTCATACTCCCTTTTTCTTTCTTCTTTCTTTCCATTTGTCTTCTGTGGTCATCTGTTCTCTCTGTCTTTCTTCCTGATGCTTTTTCTTCGCCCCTGAGTTGCTTCCGTTTTCTGTCTACTTGTTTTACTTCCTTGATTTCTGGTTCTTTGACATCCGTATCCTTCTCTCTTGCTCTTTTTCTGCCTGTATCTGTCCATCTGATGCCTCTTTTCCTGGCTCCATCTCTCTATTTCCCTGTCTTTCTCTTCCCCTTCTTTCTCTGTGGCCCGGGCCCCAGTTCTGAACCAGCTGGAGGAGTTGCTGAGCGACATGAAGGCGGACGTGACCCGCCTGCCAGCCACACTGTCGCGAATACCCCCCATCGCAGCCCGCCTTCAGATGTCCGAGCGCAGCATCCTCAGCCGGCTGGCCAGCAAGGGCACGGAACCTCACCCCACACCGGTAACCCTCTTTTCCCCTAACTCCAATTTTTCCTGTTTGTGTTCCTCCTGCACACATACAAACACTTCCATCAGAATCCTATACAATATGGAGAAATAACTTGCTAGAACACAGTCTTCACCCTTGAGTGAGTCTCCCTGCCTGTGTGTCCTACCCTTAGTAGTTGTAGAGTGTGCTTGATAATGTCTCTCCTGCAGTTTCTTTCCTCTCACAAACTATGAACTAACTCCAACTTCTGCTTACTCTGTTCCAGGCCTTCCCCCCGGGTCCCTACGCTACACCTCCGGGGTACGGGGCGGCCTTCAGCGCCGCACCCGTAGGGGCCTTGGCCGCCGCAGGCGCCAATTACAGCCAGATGCCAGCAGGGTCCTTCATCACAGGTCAGCTGGTGTTTTCCTACTTCCTGCTACTCACACTCCTCCTTTGCCACATTTTATCTCTGCTCAGCTGCCCTTTAACTGCCCTAGTCCATCTCATTTCCTTGGTGATGTCTGGTGTTTTATGGGATAGAGTTGTTCTAGGCTGTCCCTCCCATCCCTTTCTTAACCCCTCTTCTATCCACTTTATCAAAAACCAGAGTTGTAGTAGTTCTGTGGCTTGGTGTCTTCTACCCGAGCCACCTCCTTCCGAGTTCCTTCAAGGGAAAGTGAGTATGAAACCCGCGGGGGTATAGTGAGAGTGGGAACACATGTTCAATCATGTGGCACAGAGTGGAATCTCAGGGAAAGGGGTTTGCCCTAGTCTTCCCACCTTTACCTGGGGCAACTCGAAATGGCAGGAAGTGACCTAGAAGTGAGCATATACCCTTGTCATGAAGTGACGTTTGGGAGTGATGTGGGGATTAAACTTTCCTTACCCCCTTCCCAAACAGCCGCCACCAACGGCCCTCCAGTGCTGGTGAAGAAGGAGAAGGAAATAGTGGGGGCATTGGTATCAGACGGGCTGGATCGGAAGGAGCCCCGAGCCGGGGAGGTGATCTGTATAGACGACTGACTGGATCCCAGGCCTGCCCTTCACCCAGGCCCCGTCCCCGAGGCCGACCCCCAGCTCAAGCACTGGGGCCTGCTGCCAACCCTCTGCCTTCCCCACCCCTTGGGCCATCACTGGGCTAGGAACCCCTTTGCCCTTCTCTGCAGCTCCTCTCTTCAAGAAGGGCCCTTTGTCTTTCTCCACTCCCACGCACCTTTCCCACCAAGCCTTGAAGACTGTGCTGGTGAGAAGAGGTCTGGGTGGGAGATGGTTTGCAGGGTCTTCCAAGTACCTTCATCCCCCACTGCCAAGTATACACAACTTCCCAGTAAATGGTTGTGGGGAGGAAAGAGGTGGAGCCTCCCCAGTCGTTTCCCTGCAGTATCAGCTCCATCTCTTGCAGAAGTGGAGGATTAGCCTTGCCTGGCCTTTAGGAACTTTTGTGGGGAAGACAGCTTTGAAGAGAGGAGGGGGACTTTTAGAGAGGGACGAAAATGAGCCCTGGGAGGGAGGAAGGGAAGAGGAGGGGTGGCTGCATGTTACCTTCCCTACCTCTCCCCACATGGAGGGTGGAGCAGTTATGAGGGAGGAAGTCAATTGCTGTTCAGCCTCAGAATAAAGGCGCCGTTCACTGGCTCAGTTACCTCCTGTGTACCAGCATCTTGTGTTGGGAATATTCCCCCCTCTCTAGGGACCAAGGACCACTCCTACAAAAAGAGTAATGGTTGGGTGATACTCCCTCAAGCCAAAGAGGAGCTCCCCAACCTGTTCTAGGGACCCAGGTAACCTAGAAGGGTGGGACAGAATACAGTGGGCCAGACATGGGGGAAGCTGCCAGCTCTGGGGCCCAGGTTCCTGGAAGACTTTACTACCCTCCCTCCTCAAGGCCTAGATACAGACTACATTCGCTAAGTCAGGCAGGGGACCTAGTCAGGGTCTTGGGACCTACCTTGTCGTTGGGACCAGAGCAAAATAGTGGAGGGCAGGTTAGGGAAATGTGGGCACATCCCCCATGCCAGGAGGGGCCAGGGAGAGTGGCAGTTTGCATGGCGAACCCCCCACTTCCTCTTTGCTGCCCCTTCACCTTCTTGCCACCCCTTTCCCAGTATCTCTTCACACCCACTCCTGGTCTGTCCTGATCCCCTCTTCTGTATCAGGTTTATTGGTTGTACATATAAATTATACTTTCCTTTCTGTGTGCTCTGTTATTTTTTATGGGGTGGCGGGGAGTTTTTGGGGGGAGGGATAAGAAAGGTTGTTGCTTTCTGCCTTTTCTTTTAAAAAAAAAATTTATGGCTTTTTTTTTCTCATTTTATCTCTTGGATCATTCACTAAAACTGAGGTTCTTCCAGCCCCAACTATGTGATAGGCTCAGTGTAGAGAAGGAGCGTGAGCAGCAGATACCTACATGGCCTCAGGCTGACTTCAGAGAGAGTGGGACTTACTGGACAGAAGTGTAGTGGGAGGAGTGCCTAGCAAGATTCGAAACTGCCTTCCAGCCATCCTTCTGATCATCCTTTCCACCTTCAAGTTGCTTAGTTCCCCTAAGAGTCAGTAGAGGTCACTACAGCTCCACAGGTTTAGTTCCAGTATGAAGCAAAGGCACACTTTTTTTTTTTTTTAAGGAGGGTCAGATCTGTCTAGCTTACCGAAGATTTGAACTGCTAAGCACCTCCTGGATGTTTATTGTTCATTAAACAGAGCCTCTCAGAGATTGAGAGAGGCCAGATACTTAGTTCACAAGGCGATTGTATTAAAAAATAAAAGATAAAAACCAAACAAATATTTATTGAGTACATACTATACATTAACACTGCTGTTGGCCCTGGAGATAAAACAGTCACAAGTCAGCCCTTGCTCCGATGGGGCTTACGCTCCAGTGGGGACACCCACAAAGCATGAAAATAAAAGCAGTAAAAATAAAACAGGGCATTATGTTACTGAGGGGTGGGGTAAAAGGCTCTATTACGTTGAAGGCAGAAAAAGCCCTCTCAGAAGAGGGAGGATTAAGCTGAGACATAAGAACAGGAAGATGCCAAAACAGGGTTACAAAAATTGAGGTTTATACCCTGTAAATATATACAAGTATGATCTGTCAATAAAAAACAATATATTTTTAAAAGTTTGGAGACCCCTAAAAAAATTGAAGTTAATAATAAGTTCACATTTTTAACTAAAAAATGTAACACAGTAGGTTAGGATTTCTTCAGCAATAGAATGTTACTTCACAACTTTAGATAAAATAATGTATCAATCATAGCTATTATGCTTTAAATATTCTACCTACAGATGGTGATATCCTAAAGAGTCTAGGATCTAGACCAATGGTACTTAAATTTTCACATGCACACAAATCACCTGGGATTTTTAAAATGCGAGTCTGGCAGGGCGCGGTGGCTCATTCCTGTAATCCCAGCACTTTGGGAGGCCTAGGTGGGTGGTTCACTTGAGGTCAGGAGTTTGAGACCAGCCTGGCTAACATATCGAAAACCCCATCTCTACTAAAAATAGAAAAATTAGCCAGGTGTGGTGGCAGACACCTGTAATCCCAGCCACTTCGGAGGCTGAGGCAGGAGAGTTGCTTGAACCTGGGAGGCAGAGGCTGCAGTGAGCCTGGGGCGACAGAGCAAGGCTCTGTCTCAGAAAAACAAAAAACTCTGCCAGAGTCTGATTCAGAAAGTCTGGAGTGGGATCCTGGAGTGAGACTGCATTTCCATCAACAGTACACCAACACTGCTGGTCTTTGACTATGACTATATGGTGGTAAGATACAGGATTTTAAAATAGAATTTATGCATATATACAACAGGTGATGTCCCATTATGGGATACAAGCTTAAAATTGTAAAATTGTATAAATATCTTTTCAATAGCACCATTGTTTCCCTGTGACTGTGAAGATAACACAGATAATAGCAAAAGTTTGAAATATGATGCCTTTCCCAAATGGCTCTCCCTTCCTACTTTGATAGGCTCTAATTAGGTACCTTACATAAATGCCCTTTGGAATTTCTGATACCTGCCCTAGCAGGTTGAAGGGAGATTCAAAAATGAAGTAAGGCTCCTAGTCATAGTCATAGGCAGGGAGCCATCTCAATTTTTGGAGCACAGAACTGGGAGTGGGGAGACAGCAGGCATACCAGCACCCTTACATGCCAGAGAAGTGAGATTAACATGACACGAAAATTAGCCTCTTCTCTCCGGTTCCATCTTAAAAAAAAAAAAATCAAACCATTGACAAAGAATTGCTAAAATGGGACCTGTTGCTCCCACACACCAGAGCCACCCTGGACAAAAGCCAGAGTCCCAGCTAAGAAAACAGTCTGCCTTCTTCCCACGGTAACGTAGGCTTTGTTTATATCATTCCTTGGCCACTCCATCCTGGAAATGTAAGACTGGCACAGTCAGTAGATGGGGGCGAGTTCGTCTAGGAGCCTCCCCAACTCAGCATCAACACCTCCCAGGGCATTCCCTTCTGCCCTGGACTCATCTCTCTCATCACGTGCCAATCCTGGGATCTGAGAGAGGGTAGTCTTGGCATCAGCCCCCGCAAGGCTGCAGCTCCCACCTGTAGCTTCCTTTGGCTGTAGCTTCCGAGTTCCTCGATTACAACGTGCAATGGGTCAGGTGGGCAATGTCTTTGATCTCCGGACAGTAGAGCACTGCGGGAAAGAAGAAGGGTTAGTGGCAGCAGAGCAAGCCAACGAACCCCAGCGTTCCTCGGCGCTCTCTCCCCTGCATCCTCCCCTGGCAGCCCCTCACCGTTGCTAGGCAGCGGACGCCGCCAGCGGCGCGCGGGCGCCAGGACTCTGTCCCAGAGCCTCCGGAGGACGCACCACCCAGCGCTTCTAGGCCCCGCCCCCTTCTCGCTCTCCCTTTCCTCCTCCGCCTCTCCTTCAGCGTCGCCGCTTTCCTTGGCCGGGTTCCCCGCCTCATCTCGTTCGCACTCGGCCCGCGCTTTTTTCTCCAATCGCGACCACAACTCCGAGTCGAGGGCGATCTCCGTGACGCCGCCGCGCTGGAGCGGCGAGGGCGCCCGGCAGAAGGGGCACTTGATCACGCGGCGCAGGCGCACCACGCGCGCGGCAGCCCCGCCGCCGTCCCCGCGCGCCGCCAGCTCGCGGAGGCAGGCGGTGCAGAGCGTGTGGCCGCAGCGGGCACGCGCCGTCCCGGGCAGGCGGCGGGGCGCGCGGACACCGAGGTTGAAAGGGCGGTAGCATATGTTGCAGTCCAGCTCGCCCCGCTCCGGAAGAGAGGGCACCCTCACCAAGAGCTGCATCGTGCCCGCCGCGGATTCGAGGACGTCGCTAACGCTGCTGTCTCCGTGGACAAAACAAGCAGACCCTTCTGGGGCCGGCGCCGCGGCCTCTTTCCCCTTTTAATAGGGGAATAAGTGAGGCTCCACCCTTCGAAGCGTCATGCCTTGATCCGGCCGCTCCCTGTGGTGGCACGTGTTGGGGCGGTGGAGGTGTGAGGCCAGGAATGACAGCGATGGTGGAGTGGGGGAGGCGGCCCAGACCATGCCAGGACCAGAGCCCTGGGGTCCAAAGCACCCATCCACTCCCTTCCTCTCCACTCCCAGGGAGTGGGGTGGAGCTTTCCTTCTCCCCCGAAGCAGTGCCAGCACTCCTTAATTCTACTATGTGCAAATCCCCAGGTCCTTTTCTGTTCCTGAGCCTTCTGTAATTGGCACAGGTTTCTAAAGACCCCTTGGCCTATTCAGTTTGCTCACAGTGAGTTTCACAATCCCACCCAGTTTCCTAACACTGCCCATTCTGCCCAACCGTTAGTGGTCCCCTGGGCCTTTGAATCTATTTCGCCCTCAGTTCTCATTATACATGAGCTCTCTGTGTTGCTTGTAAGGCTGGCTTCCTAAATTTCATTCTCCTCAAACTGCTCAACCCTCACTGATAGCTCAGCCTAAGGAGGGACCTAGATTCCAGGACTATGGCTTTAGGAATGCTGGGAATCCTTTCCTTCCGGAGGCCTGGACACCCACACATCATGATGGCCCCAGCAAAGCACCCCAGCATGAGCTCTGACTCAGGGGTCTGACTTCTCCCCCTGGTAAACAGGACATGGCACTCACAACCCACATTCCCCTCATGGTGCCACACCCATACACAGCTGCCTCCTCAACCTCCTCTCCTGAACCTGAAGCCCAGGTTCTGTTGTACAGGGTAATAACACAGTCTAGAGCCAGCTGGCTTGAGTTCAAATCCTAGCTTCCACCTCTTTCTAGCTGTGACACTTTGGGCAAGTTACTTAATTTCTCTGGGCCTTGGTTTCCTAAGTTATAAAATGTGGATAATAATAGTGAGGACTGAATGAGCTTATATGAGGAAAGTGATTCAAACGGTGTCCAGTACACAGTAAGCACCAGGTAAGTGCTATATTAGCTACTATGATTATCCTGTGCCACCAGCCTTTATTGTATTTGCTTTAACTTCTCAGTACCCAACATTTTCAACACCCATCCTTCTTGACCAATATGTACAAGATGGGCTTCTCTACACCCATGGCATTTACCAGCTATCACAGGCAATGCAGAGCTGGCTTTTTAACCTAAATTGTTAAAACCTACTACGTAATCTTTTTTGAGGAGGTATATCATTATTATCATTATTATTATTATTATTATTATTTTATTGAGACGGAGCCTTGCTCTGTTGTCCAGGCTGGAGTGCAGTGGCACGATCTTGGCTCACTGCAGCCTCTGCCTCCTGGGTTCAAGTGATTCTCCTGTCTCAGCCTCCTGAGTAGCTGGGATTACAGGAACATGCCACCATACCTGGCTAGATTTTTTGTATTTTAGTAGAGATGGGGTTTCACCGTGTTCCCCAGGCTGGTCTTGAACTCCTGAGCTCAGGCAGTCTGCCTACCTCAGCCTCCCAAAGTGCTAGGATTACAGGTGTGAGCCACCTCACCCAGCCCCATTATTTTTAAGCAAACATTTCAGAACTTTTGAATGGTATTGTCTGTGATCATGGGAGAAGCTGTCTACTTATTACAGTGATGCTCTCACAATTCAAAACTTTTCTGTCTTAAAAGGACTGGTAGAGCTGGGCACAGTGGCTCTTGCCTGTAATCCCAGCATTTTGGGAGGCTGAGGCAGGTGGATAACTTGAGGTCAAGAGTTCAAGACCAGCCTGGCCAACATGGTGAAACCCTGTCTCTACTAAAAATACAAAAATTAGCTGGGCATAGTGGCTCACACCTGTAGTCCCAGCTATTCAAGAGGCTAAGGCATGAGAATTACTTGAACGCAGGAGGCGGAGGTTGCAGTGAGTCAAGATCACACCACTGCACTCCAGCCTGGGCAATAGAGTAAGACTCAGTCTCAGTCTTCAAAAAAAAAAATAAAATAAAAAAGGGGGTACTGGTACATGTCTATTGTTAATAAATACATGATAAAGTACAAAACAAAAGACTATGAGGAAATGATAACTTTACCAAGCAGCGCCCACAATCAACTGTACCCTCCATGGTAAGCATTACAGGCATGAGCCACTGCACCTGGCCCATCTTAATCTTTTAAGGTAGATTTGATGATGTAAATGCTCCCAAAGTGCTAGATAGCCTAAGGCTCGAGACATCAGTTGCCTGCTCCACAGCCCTTGTTGTTTATCTCCAAGAACCCTAATGGATGACCTCCATGTCCAAATCAGCATTTCTTCCAGTTTTCCGCCCCTTTATTTGCCCAATTCTAGAAACCTAGATGTTATCCTTGGTCTTGCCCTTGCCCTTGCTTTCCTGTACTGACCCATCAGCAAGCCAGGTCTATTTT